TAAATTCGTGGAAATATGCTTCATAATATTTTTCTACCATGGCACAATGAATAGGTAGTCCATTTAGAGCAGCTGATGTCTCGATTAACTGTCAAAGTGGGCAATTTCTGCTTGAATTCGATGTGCAGTGTTGCCAACCATTTGAAATATTATAAGGAAAATTTAACAAATAATCGAGACAAAAACAAATGTTTTTGTTTTGATACACCGCCTTATTATTGAATCATGGGTCGTACCTAATTTATTGCGCTCCTTACAAAAATACTCACATTTTCACCTTTATAGGATTTCTTAGACGTCCGTATTACCCAAATACGCAAGGACTTTATTTGCATCTGTACGGCGAAAATGAATGAAAACATTTTTTTAATTCATCGAAAAATGTTTACATGTATAGAAAAACTAAATTTTCAATGACTGAAATTCTACCTTCAAAAAAAAAAAAAAAAAACTTCAAAATACGCATTGTGAATGTTGAAAACTTTCAACTTTATATTTTGATACGCAATGCGTATTTGGGTAACATTCATTGAAATACATGTATTTAACTTTTGAGGTGAATAAATTCGTACGCATACGCATGAATTTAGGTACGACCCTTAATAAATAAATAAAAAAAATGTTGAAAATTTTCGAAATTAACAGCCTTACCTAAAATTCAACTAGCTCGTTCGACGTTTTTCACCACAAAAGTAGAACACATGTATTTATATGAATGTTACCGAAATACGTCGAGCGTACAAAATTTCAAGTTGAAAATTGTCAACTTTGACAGAACGTAATTTTTGTTTTTTTTTTATTATTGAAAATAAAAACAAAACATTCAGAAAATATGAAATTTCGTATTTAATATATTTTCAACATTGTTTTGCGGTTTGTATTATTCGCTTGAAGATATGGATTCGACGTATTTGGGTAATACGGCCGTACACAACATATTGCAAAAGTCGGGAAGTTGAATTTTTCTGTACGCCCCGTCGAATTATAGGTAACGTTGTAAATTACCATGGGGCAACACACATTACAACATAAACTACAATATGGCAACACGAATATCCTGAATAAAGCTGATTGTTTTTCTTATATCAATTTCAAATAAAATGAAAAATAAATTCCATAAAATTGTATGAATGTCGATTGGCATATTTTCAATAAATTAAAAAAATATATAAACTTCAAAATATTAATAAATATGAATGATGTTGCAATTTTTTCCACTGAAAACATGATGTACGTTCATTTCGAAGGAAGGTATTTTAATTTAAATTTTGAAAACAGAATGTTGTCAAAAATTTATGAAAAAATTGGAAACATATGACTGCATGAGACTAGCTTCTTAATCTTGATCACAAATCCAGTGGATTATATTTGACGTATACCATATAATTGAAATTTCAGATCGAGTGAATCGAGCTCAAATTAAAAGAGAAACTAAACTAAAACTATCATTTTTTATTTTTAAATCCAAATAGTTTTTGCTATAGTATAAACTGACACTCCCAACTTTCTTTAAAAGATCGCACAACCAATGAAAATAAAAAATTTAAAACCCAAAAAAGACCTCAGGCTCGAACAACTCTTTTAATTAATTTTAAGTTAATTTAATTTATTTTATGTTCAAATAAAAAAATGGACAACTAATTTACACAAAAAAATAATCTTCATAAATTCAGATTCTTAAAACCAAATTTTAATTGTTTGACGATTTATACATGAATTCAACTGTCTATTGTAAACGCTGGGTTACGTGATAGAAAATAGAAACAATTATGTTTTATTTAATTTTAATAAAAAAATGCAATCTATTAAAATGTATATAATAAAAATACACACCCTATATTTCTTATAAATGCATTTTTTAGGTAAATATTGCAATTATAATTTATTGTATAACATAATATATAATAAAATTAAACATAAAGAAATCTTCATAAAAATATATGTTGTATTATAGGATAACGATTATTATAATAAAATAAAATTAATAAAATTAATTTAATTATTAAATGAAACAAAGTATGTTTTTTTGTGTTACGAAGACAAAACAATAACCTTAAACGAATAAAAATGACATATGAAAATACTCAAAATTACGATATATGAATTCTGATACCATGTATTTGTATAATTCTCCTTCCATTTTCATTCTCCTTTTCAATTCTAAAAGCGAGATAAAGTTCGAATTTTCACATGTTATTAAATATTATATTTTGGGCCTGTTTTCATTTATAGAATTATTTATTATCAAATCTGGTTTTAATTTTTGTAAGCATTCTCCACATGATCTCGGAGAACGTCGACATGCAAAGTTGATTACAACGATCGTTTTGGTATAAGATTGTTAGGAAAAACTGGCAGACAAAACTGCAGACTTCAGTTAATTTTATAAGGTAAATTCCCGGTAATTATATATACAGATTTCTCTTGTTCAGTGACTTATGCTAAAAATTGATGGAGAATATTTTTGTCCCTTATACTATCCTTCTAAAACGACACCTTGTAGGAAAAATGGGTAAAAACTAGTAATAAGTACAATATTAACCCTAAAATGATTTTTGGTTTTTTTAAGATTTGTGACGTTTAGGCTGATTTTTGAGTTTTAGTCTATTCTGAGACTTATAGTAAAACTTTATGGCGAACATTTCTGTAGAATGTTCTGAGCAGATATAACCCCGTTTTGAATGAGTTTTCAATCACTCCTGGGAAAAGGGACCGAAAGACCCCTTTAATGAGTCGGTTGAAGATTAAAGTTGCATACCAAAATATTCCTCGATATTTTGTCAGTAATATTGCCGAAGACACTATATACCTAAAATGCAAGGATTTCAAGAAATCATAATTCGAAAATTATCAAAATACTTGAAAAGGGAGAATATTGTCCCGCTTTTTTAGGTTACATCCCGACGTAAACTTTCAAAACGCCTATACACGTGTCTCCTTTTTTTAGCCCCTCTTTCATAATCTTTTGGAATTTTCCGGTAATTATCAAAAAAATTCAAATTTGTCGCACAGTGTTATTTTATGATTTGTTCTCCTCCTATATTTCGTCCTTCAAATTATGCACACGATAATTTTGAAAAAAAAATGTTTAACTTTATTATTGTTTTTCATAATTTTTATTTGAGTTTTTCACTGTTAAGCGGCTCATCAGTCAAATTTGGTTATATGATTTTTCCATAATTTTTTATATTTATTTCTTTAGAGACATATCCTCACACAATGTCATTTATTTCAACTCCAAATTGTATCAAACTCGGCTTAGTATTCCTTATTCCCTTTATAAATTCCGTAACAATATTTGGTTGAGCAAGCATCGTTATCAATAGGATTCCCAATTTGTTGTTTTTGAGTTAAAAATATGCATATGAATGGTTATTCATGAAATTCAAAATCGTCATAGAATGAGTATTGTATAGATATTTTTCATAAAAATATTTAATACTTATATTTTTGTAGTCAGCTCCCTTTAAATTTATTAGGGAAAAATTTCGCACAAACTGTCATCACATTCTCCCATTCCCTGTAATCCAGAATAACTAATTTTCACCAAAGCGAATTTTTTCGCTCTCGTACTTGATTCAGAATAAGGAGTAAGTGAATAAGCGACCTTCTAAGGGAAGAGCGAAAAATTTCACGGTGAAGAAAAAATTGTATGTGTTATTTGTATATGGAAAGAAATCGCCGTTGAATAATGACGTATCATGACAATCGAAAATCTCTTCGGTAAAGATTCAAGGGAGAGATACGAATATCATTTTAACAGAAAAAAACAACAAGTCATACACCTTAATAAGCGTCAATGAGCAAACCTATACATTAAATAGCATTACAGATATGGAACATTTGCTTACCTGAAAAATCGCAAAATATCCGAGGATTGGATTAAGCCCGGTACTACTTAACAGCTGAATTGTACAAAATTGGAGATGATGACTGTAGATTGTTTCAAATTGTTTCAATGAAAAAAAAATTAAATATTTGTGAGTCACAATCACGGCTAGGGGAACCGACAAAATACATACGGACGATTCATCCCCCTCATTTAAGCCCAGTTGGAAGTTCAATTCCAAGAAGTTTGTTGTGTCGCGTTGAGAAAACATCCGATCAATGTTGGTTATGAATATCCCCATTCGACATGTCGAAATCTGTGAGCACTTTAAAACATAAACCCTGAACAAAATCAAAACATATTGTTTACTTATTGTATGATGTAAATAAGTTTACACCACATTATATATTTTTATTTATAATAATAAACTCAATTCAGATGTATTTTAATGTACAACTTTAGATTTGTTGCTTTATTATTAGAGTTTGGAATTTGAATTTTTACGGTATAGCAAATGTAGTAGCAGCAAATCAAAAGTTGAATTTTGAGAATACAATTATAATCTAGTTTAATTAATAGGTAAATACACATATGTAGTACGAATAATAATTTGATTTTCTTTTATTGACCACGACGACATATTCTAAATTTTGGACAGAGTTCGGTTTTCGGTTTATATATTCGTACGTTAAGATATTATTTATTATATTTCAATTAAAAATAAAATAAAAGTTTATATATAAAAAAATATGTATTTAAAATAAAATTAATAACTATAAAAAAAAGAACACGTAAATATAAGATTATGTTATTTATTTTTAATAAAATGAATTTTTTACCATTAACGGCCAAAGTTTGTTAAACCATCAATGAAGATCTACTACATCGATATATGTAAATATTTCAGCGTTTTAAAAGAAATAATTGTATTAAGAGACGCTTGTCTTTCACCCTTCTCTTGTTTTTAGTTTATATTTACCAAAACATTTTTTTTTTTGTTTTCGTTGAAGCCAATTTAGCGGTTTGGTTTTTTTTAATTTTTGTTAAAGAACACATTTTCTTGTTTTAATATTAATGTATGTATAGTAGAACGTCGTATATTTTATATCTAACATATTAAATTTTAGTTTGTGGGAAAAAATTAAAAAAAAAAAAATTATTCAATATAAAATTATACAGGACTGGATTTGGGAAATTCCTGACTAGAAATACTTAATGCCATCTTTTTGGCTGGTGGTGGCTGTGGCACAGCTTCAGGTTGATCGGCATCTAAATCAATCTAAAAATAAGGAAATTTTTATTGGAATGAGTATTGAAATGTTTACAAGTAAAATAAATATTATTTTTAAATTAGTCAACATAAAATCAAATATTGTAATTCTTACCTCCATAATGACATTATCCTTATTGCCAATACTTAAACTACTCTCACATTTTCGATCATCCGATGTGGTAATTGTGGAAATCGTCGATTTCGATATGGCCGTCTCACTTGAGGTAGTGTTATCCGATTCATCAACAATGCTTTGCGGTACATTTGTTTTCTTTGACGAAATTTGTGTTACTTCGTCTTTTATGGTTGTAGACGACAAAGTATTACTGCTCACAGCAGCATCCAAACCAGCAGCTGTGGCTATATTGGCATTCGACGAAGCTGAAGATGTAGATGTAATGGTGGAACTAGCAGACGATGTTACATTTGCTGGTGTCGTCGAGCTGGAAGTAGCACTACCCGCAGCAACAGCATTAGCTTCCTTCTCGGCTTCATGTTTCTTTATCAATTGATCCAAATTGTAACGACGTCGATTATTTATATAAAATGTACGAACATTTGCTTCAGTTTTGGTACCCAAAGTTTCGGCTATGGCCTAGACCGGACAACAAAAATATACATGTTGGAAACGAACGATGAGACAAGTGTGCATTTATCTTACCTGAAAATCTTTACCATATTTACGTACACCATTGACGGCCAATAGAATTTCATCATTTGTCCAACGAGCGTTAACACGATTTGCATTTTCCGTTGGACGTATATCTTCCAAATTGTCGGAATTTTTACGTTTCAACGCTGAGATATTCTGCTTATTCAATTGTACCTAAAAACAATATTTTCATAGTTTTTTTGTTGCTATTGTTGTTGTTGCATTATACATTAATTTGTTTAGGTAAAGAAATCCCAACTTAAATACGCTTAACATGGAGAAATGAATGAAATTGGATGATGATGATTGGTGGGTTTCAATGAATGATGATGAAATGTGAATGATTTATAATGAAGTTGATTTCGAAGAGAAAGAAGAAGATGTTGGTAAACAAAATAATCATTCGATTCACAAATGTTGTAACGTCTCCCAAATTCAAGAAGTCAAATTGAGTTAATGAAGCAGCAAGATTACGAAAAATATCTAAGGGCACTAAAACTTTAAGTAGTGGCCTAACTGCGGTTTTGCCACTTTTCTTGGCTACTCATTTCCAAATCTCAAACTGAAGACAATGACTCGTTCATAAAGGGGTCGAATTAGCTATCCACACATTGCCAATAGACCAAAGTCCAATTGACATTTGCATTGAAAACAATGCAAATGTTGCTATTCTATGTCTCCTGGCAATAACGAAATCCTTGTTAAACCATAACGAGACTCTGAGACACAGATGATGTGGCATTTGTAATACCATTTGGATAAATGAAATCAGAATTTGATTTTGAATAATGTTACGCTGATATACAGAGGGAAAGATCTCTTATCTTTTTATACCCTCAGCTCAAAATGTGTCACATCATAAAATATTGGTTTTAGATCACATGTTTCTTTCAGACAAATTTCCGTCCGCCCAAAGTTGGGAAATATCGGCCAACGCTGATACCTTCTGGTACCTTCCCCCGCCAAAAATGGGCAATATTTTGCTACAAAAATAATTGTATAATACATTGTATATATTTTAACCAAGCCTGTATATAGTAATGGAAGATGGGACTTATCGGTCCACTCCTTCTAGTACCTTCCATCCCCACAAAGGGTGATATTTTAAAAACTTTAAATCTTATTTGAAGCGACGGGATTATCCAATTTCATCTAAACCAAGTCGGAAGATGGGCCCACTCCGATTTCGATTTCGTGCAAATTCTGCACATCTTTATCAACTCTAAATTAAATCCGAAAATGGGCCCAATCGGTCCATTCCATTTGGTAACTCCCCCCAAAAAAAAACACAAATTGTCACAATTATTGAAATATTTATAAAGTTAATAAAAAATTCTCCAAAATAATTCCGTAGACCTCCACTAACACTTTTACTCGTTCTGTAAGGACCAATTAACACTTGTTCTGTAAGGACCGACTGCAAAAGTGCTGTGACATCCAACCTTCTTTAAGATTTGTAAGATAACGTGACACTGAACTTTTGAGGCGAAGATTGTGTTACACTACCGCCGTGTCGGGTCTTTGTGGAAGGTAGGTATTAATGTCATTTAGACCGGCAATATCAACACACAGCGCTTCTTCTCCCAAGCAAAATGGTCGATGAGTTACAGTTTTTTAGGTACGTCAAATTTTAAGGTACGTTTTAATAACATATTTAAATTTAAATGCTAACCACAGCTTCAAAATTAACATTTTCTATGTCAAAAAAAAAACTGTCCCCCATTGATGTATTTCGCTGTGTCTATTACATTCCATGTTTACCATTTGAAAAAAAATGAATGGATATACGACATGATATTGTTAGTATAAATGTATGTGTTAGAGCTTAACATATAGAAAATCAAAACAAAACTAAACAAAAAAAAATACATTGAACAATATTGCAAAATATGAAAATCTTACTTGACTCAAAAGGGATACAATTTCACGATCTATATTTGCCAATAGCTCATCTTGATTATCATTGGCACTGGCCAAGGCCACAATATCATCATGATTTATATACATGCCACGTGGTGGTTTACGTTTGTGACGATCTGCATTACGATCACGAGATCTTTTGCCAAAAAATGGTCCAGATGTGGGACGTTTATTGCCAGTGCGTCTAAAAATTTTGAGTAAATTTATGGTTGAAGAGGGAAGGGAAGGACATACATATTAAATTATCAATTTTGGGTTTTAGGAATGTTTCACTTCTTATACCTCCAGTGATGATGACAACTGAAACACATTTTACCATGTGGTGAATTGTGTAATACATTACAGGCTACACCACAATTTGAACAATAACCACCGCCGCCACTACCACCACCAGCAATGAGACCGCCTGCGCCTGCAGCAGATGATGTGGCATTTGTTGTGGCAGCAGCTATACCATTTGAATAAATTGAATCGGAATTTGAAATTGTTGGTGTATGAGATTGCTGTTTATTATTGTTGTTGCTGCTGCTGTTGTTGTTATTGTTATTGGCAGAATTTGGAAAATGATTTTCTATATCAACACCACCACCATCATGCAATAAACTCGAATCATTTGTTTGATCATATAAAATTCCTGCATGGCTTGACAATGTTTGATCCTAATTCGGGGCGCAAAACCGAGCGAGCGAGAGAGATTGTGACACGCAAAGCGGAAAAGAGACAAGAGAATAAGAAAAAACATAAGATTGTTTTGTGTAAAATCAAAATTTACAAAAAAATTGTTTTTGTTTCTTTAAAAAAAATACACTACTACAACAAGGTTTTGAGACAAAATCTTATGAATACAAACATTCATGAAATAGGATTTGAAAGAGAGATAGAAAACAATTTACACAATAATAAATCTATTAAGAGTAGTGGTGTGGTGTTGATCAAACAAAATTTATGTAATTTCTTTCAAAATATTTTTTATGTATTTTTTTATTCATTATTACTGCCCTCAACAACACATTGAATTTTGCCGCCAACAACTTGCAACGTTAATAAATAAAATATATATATATATATATACAAGAAGTAAGAACACCGATCTTCTGGGGGGTATTTGAAATATGCGGACTAAGGAGAAGGGGAAGTAGAGTCGTCTATATCTGCAAGATTCCTTTCAAGTAAAATTATATTTTGCAATATTAACGAAAATATAAGTAGACATATGAAAAAAAATGTTAACTAATTCCAAACAAATAAATATATATAAAAGAGCCATGAAAAAAAATGAATGAAAAAATGAGCAAATTTAAAAAGAAGAAGTTAGTAACAAACTGATTGGTTAAAAAGAATTAATTTTGTTGGTGTATATAGGATATGTTAAAAATGCAATGTAGACATCTCTGTTATATACAATTAATAACTATATTTAATTGTTCATATATTTAATAAATTGTTTTTTCCCTTTTTATATTTATTAGAACCGTACAAACTGATTTTGTTTTACCCTGTGTACCAAGGAAAGGACGTAAATTTTGAAGATGCAAAATTGTATAAAATTTTTTTACTCACACTGAGGAGTAAAAAAATGAGCGATCTAAGGAGAAACAGACCTGGTAGATATCTATGATCTCAAGTTTGGGACTTATTTGGCAAGTACCGGCATGATCGTCAATTTCTCAACTTAAGTATGCATCGACGCAATGGAAATACTATCTATAGGAAATGGATAGCTTCAAGCCAGCAATCTCCCATAGGTGGAATTCCTGATGCTGGGAAACATTCTTAATTTGGTACACCATCATCAAAGTTAAGAGAATGGTGTAGAAAAAATATTTTTTTAAAAATGATAAATACGCGTACTTAAACAAGATTTAAGATTATCAAATTCAGAAACAAAGTTGTTCTAAGTTAATCTTCATTTTCTATTCATGGAGTTTCCTTAAATATGGAATTTGTTCTTTTTTTAAGAGTCTATCTTTTATTTTCTTCAACAAAGATCTGTGAGATAAATCAGAGTCCAATGAAAATTGTTTGCTTAAAAAATCATTAAAATATATACACATTGCATTTTATACATATACACACACATACACATTGTTATATAAAATATAAACAAATGCTTATTAATTTTAATTTAGTGAATTGTTTTTTTTCGACTCCATATTTCATTGTTGATATTATTCACTATTATTGGTTTATTTTTCTTACCCAAAGATTTTGATTTTTATTGGCAATTATTTAGATTTTCAGAATTACTAGTTATCAATATTTTTTATGTATTTATTAATTTTTATTTGTTTTTTTCTTTGGTGATGGAAGAAAAAAAAAAGGTTGCATTTGAAAAGAAACACATGAATTTTGTTTAATCTTCACGCAGACAAAACATAGATTTTTTCTTCTTTTATTATTTTTTTCTTCTTCTTCTTATGATTTTGGTTGATATGAATTTAAAATATTAGATTATAGTATTCTTTGTATTTTTCCAATTTTTTTTTTTTTTTTTGAGACTTTTTTTTGCTAATTTTGAATAGTTAGTTTAAGAGAAAAAAACATTTATATAAACAGTCTTGTACTAAAATCTAGGTTTTTTTAAATTTAATGTAGCTTATAATTAATTTCAAAGTAGCTTATGCTGAGTAAAAAGAAAAATAAAAATGAATTAAAAAACAATAATTAAACTATAAATAATGATGTTTCTGGTTTACTTAAATAAAATAAAGTAAAAAAAAATAGTAGTACGTCATTGTCACACTATTCACAACACATTGTGATGAATAATGTTTAAATAAAAAAATAGAAAATTAAATATAATATTAGATGATTATAATTAGGAACCATCTGCATCAAAACAAAATTTTTTTTTTTAATTTGTTTCAGCCAAATCATCTAATATTGTATTGAATTTTCTCCAATTTATTTGTTTTTGTTTTGTAAGAAAATAGCCAAGTATTTTAAATTTTGAACATACATATAAACAACACACATTTATTTCATGAACTATTACAAAATGTTGTAACACATAAGTGACTATTTAGAAGCAGACTAGACATAAGTAGTGTTGCAAAGTCTCATTCGGCATAAAATCGTTTCTTTAACTATGTTCCCCAAGGCTACACTAACATCCCAGGGGTTATTAGTTGAATTTTGGCAGGAAATTGTTAAATTGCCATTCCAGAGATTAAAATTGTTGAGACATCATTAAGCAAATACTGCGCTAGTATGGACTCAATTGAGGAGAGTTGAAACTTAATTAAAAACTGGAATAACTTCCGAACTTTGTTAATATAAAAATTACATTGAACTCTTAATGTACAGAATAAATGAAATAACTTATCTCTCATTGTCTTCTCCTAAGAGGCAAACTAGACAGGAACCTAACAAAGACAATTTCTTAAGAGAATAGACATGGAAGTCGCTGTAAAAATCGTTGTAGATTACTGAAGGGATAGTAGTGACAATACCACTATGCCAGAAAAATAGTGTAGTTGTATTCGAAGACATATTTTAAATTTGGATTTAAAAATTTGGATTTTTATGATTTTTTTGGATTTATGATTTATTACGCTACACACCTCAAATGGTCCCTCTATATTGTCTAGAAATGTGTCTGTTTATATACAATAAGAATTTTTAATTTAATTAAGAAAATAAATAAATAAAAATTCAAATCAAATTCAAATTAGCTATTTTCTAGAAAACAAAAATTACAATTAATTCTGTAAATAATAAAATAAATAAATTAAAACACACAACAAAGAAATAATATTCTTATTTTCCTTTGTTATGTACACAAAAATAAACTAGAACATTTTTGGACTTATAGATAATTTTATATTTATATATTTTTTACAGGTTCTCTTTTTTTTGTATGTTAAACATTTTCTTTTCTCTGATTTTTTTAATATATATTTTTTTGTTGTATGCATACATTAAAATGGAACACCGACAGACAATGTATGTATATTTTCTTGACAAAAAAAAAATACAATTCAATATTTTTTACTAATAAAATTAAATGCTTATAAAATTGAATTTGAAATGTTCCATTTTAAAGTATACAAAAAAAAGAATTATGTTTTAAAGGTTACGTTTTTTTATATGCGATTAGATTTTAATAAATTTGTTTATATGATAATAATAGCCACAAAGTATAATACAAATAAACACATTGTTATATAAAATTTATTATATTCTTATATACTTTTTTATTATAATTATTATTTTTTTTTTTTGTTCCAAAAAAGAAAATATAGAAATTTGTTTGTCTAAATAAAAAGTTAAGAAAAATAAAATGTATGTGAGAAATGTGTGATGTTTTCTGTTCATTTGTTTCAAAACACTACACCTAAATTTAAGCCACAACGTAACTATATGTATGTTTTTGTTTTTAAAAGCCAGTAATAGGGGTTGTTTGTATGTTTTGTAAATATAAAAGTAAAGAAATAAAATTATTTAATAACTAAAAATCTGCAATGAAGTGTGTGGTGATAAATCATTAGAAGAAAAAAACAAACAAAAAAGCGCACGTGTGTAAAAAACGATAAAATTGGGTATGAATTTACGTACGTACTATTTTTTATTATTAAATACATAAATATATATATACTATATTATAAAATATATACCTAATTCTAACTAATAATTACCTTGTCATCATTGTCGGATTCTTCGTTACTGCCATTATCGCTGCCATTTTCTGAAGAACCCTCTTTGCTAGCTTTTACTTTTTCCTGGCGATCCATGACACTTTGACGATGTCGTGTCTTTTTCCAGGAATAGTAATATTTTACCAGGCTAGCAATTGATTTATCGGGTAACTGGAAAATGGAGAAATGCAAAAATTATATATTTATTTGTGAAAATAGAGTGATAGAGGACGATGAAGGTGGTGGTTGTGGTGCAGCTTACCATTTGACGTATACGATGAAAACTTTTGCCATGAAATTGAAATGCCTGTTCAAATAACACTTTATCCTCGACTGTCCATTCATCGGGGAATGGTGTGAAATTTGCCAAATCCATAACTGCCCGCTCAAGATCATGTTTATGCCAGAATAGCATACCCAATGCCTGCTCTCCATTGTAACCATATTTTTCTTTGGCAACTGATATATATTCTTCAACTGTAAATAAAAAAACAACAACATATGATAGATAAGTTTTTGGATATTCAAAAATATAGAGATACATTTTTCTAATTATAAAATTACAATTTTATATTAAAGTGAACGTCAATAATTATCTAAATTTGAAATAATTGTTGTTGAAGAAATCCTACTGTTTTTACAAAACGAGCTAAGGTGACATTCGTTGGTTGGACTCGTTTGGGTTTGTAGATCCTACTTGTCGTGGGTACATATAAATG